TATGGGCTTGCAAGTACATGGATTTTTGTTGGAGCAGCTAAGGATGTATGTTTGGATTGGGAATAAGTTATTGGGCTTTAGGGTAAGGCCCATGTAACGGTTTGGGCCTAATTTGGAAAATTAGGCCATTAGTGGGCCTTTATGGATTTTGGAGTTTTGGGATTGGGCTTTAGTTATGAATCTTTTGGGCTAGGAGTAAAATCGTCATTTTACCTCAAGTATAGATTATGGATCATGGGTTGGGACCCAATTAATTACTAATTGGGTGATATTTTGGTATTGATAGCTCGAGAAGTTGCCAGGGCAGCAACTGAGGATTTCTTGCGATGAGCTTCAACAGTGTGAGGTGAGTTACCTTCCCTATATGAGTGGGTCAAAGGCACTAATGTCGGCCCACTAGTAGTTGTTTATAGTATATATGATTGTCTTTGTGATAATTTTCAAGTATGCCACTATCTGTAGAGATTTATGTGCTTGTATGCTATGTTATTATGTGGTAGTGGTAGGAGGGGGAAGTAGACTCCGAAACCGATTGAAATAAACCGAAGGGTAGGTCAGGTAACCAGATATGCCTGTCAGTATGTTTATGATATGATATTAAGTGGTAGTGGTAGGGGTGAAATAGACCTTGTAACCAGTTGAAATAAACCGTAGGGAAGTCGGGCACCCAGATATTCCTGACATGGGTAGGTCGGGCACCTAGGTATGCCTGACAGGGGTAGGTCCGGCACCCTTGTATGCATGACATGGGTAGGTTGAGCACCCAGGTATGTCAGCAGGGTAGGTCTGGCACACAGATATGCCTAACATTATGTTTATTGTATGGTATGTGGTATGATGGGGGAACTCACTAAGCTTCGTGCTTACGGATTTCAGTTTTGGTTTCAAGTACTTCTTCTTCAAAAGGAAAGGAGTCGGCATGATTGCAACGCATCACATTATGATTTTCTACATATGAGATCTTTGGGAGTTGTACTCTGATAATATTTTCTACGACATGTTTTGGTTAATTAACATACTAGTTTTGATATGGATGGCACTATTGATATTTCAGACTACTGGTTCTTATAATTATTTATTTAAAAATGAAATTTTTGGTTATGAATTTTGGGATGTTACAGAGAGGGGGGGGGGGGGTCATCATTGATATATAGATCGTGATGGAGTTTAGTAGTAATATTAGAGGACAACAACACTGACATTACCTATGGTTATGAGTCCGGAGAAGACGATTGTCTTAAATTGATGATCAATGGATGATTTGGGTTAATGTTACCGGTTACCGGGAGCAAACGTAAAGTCGGAAATTTGGGGCAATGATGCCTCTTCTTTACCCATATCGATCAACAAGCATCACTTCTATTTCACTGTTTCAGAGTTTTGTGGGGTTTTTAGATCGATTGAAGAGGTTTCGGACATCAAATCAACACATTGCATTCTCCATTCAAAAGAGAGAAGTGAAGTGGATTTAGTTGGTGTATGTGTTTCCCTTAGGAGTGTAGGTTTCTTAGAGAGAGAGAGAAAGAGAGAGAGAGAGAGAGAGAGAGAGAGAGAGAGCCAATGCATATCAAACTTAATTTTTTTAAACAAAATAATAATAATAAAAACCTAATAAATGGTCACTGAACAGTGAAATGACGAAAATGCCCGTCACTTAATGGATAAAGACTGACGGAGTGAGTCATAAGGACTAGAAATTAAAAGTTTTGAAACCACAGGGACCATTCGTAAGGTTTTTAAAGTTAGGGACGAAACTTCAGATTTTATAAAACTACAGGGACCATTTATGAAGTTTTGTCTAACTTGTAAAAATTAAGTTTAGAAGAATTGTAAAAACAATTTGAAAAGGAAAACTAAGTTTAAAAAAATACAAGTTATAAAAATAGTAGGAAAAGATTGTAAAAAAAAGTGGTATCAACTTTGTAAAACAAACGAAAAGTTGGATGAAATTATAGTAAAAAAACTAGGGGAACTATATAAAAGTTTTGTATCAAATTTGTAAAATAAATTGAAATGTGGATGAAGGTTATAAAATACTAAAATAAAGGTGGCATAGGTCATATCGATTAAAGTAAATAAAAAGAAGGGTAAATTAGAGGAATGATCATTTAGCTTTATAATTTTTCCTTTAAATGGTCCTTACGAAGCTTTTTTTTTTTCCTGATATGATCCCTACGGAGCAAATTGTAATTACTATAGGTGTTTATTATATGGATCCGTTAAGTTGAAACAATTTTCGATAAGAACTATTTCTGCTATTATGTGAAAGTTACTTAAGGATCATTTGTGAAATTTTACACAGGGATCATTTGAAATATTACAATTTTAATCTTTTATTTTTTTCTTTTTACATTTTCAGCCCTCTTTTTTCGCAACTTTCTTATTATATATTTTTAAATATAAAAATAGTTTTTGTTAGATTTTGTATAAAATATATAAATTACAATACGTAATTAAATATTTTCGTTTTTTTATCTAAAAATATTTGAAGCGTAAAAACACCATTTTATTACTTTTTAATTTTTATATGATGTAATTTTTATGATTTATCTTCATCTATCTTATACAAATACATTTACTTTTATGAAAAAATATGACGTGTTAATATAAAAATATATATTATTTTAGAAATAATAGTATGTTGCTATTTTATTTTTAAAAATGTAAGAATGTGGTTTTGAGTTAAAGATAAAATATG